CTTGTCGCAGTTTTCTTGTCTTTATTCTGGATAACTGGTACAGAGGGCAAGGCAGAGGCCCAGGGAGGCGCGTCCTGCCAGCCCGCGAGGGCGAGCGGTCTGCGGTAGATGGCACAGGAATTGCCATGAACGAAGTTCGTTTTGAGACAATATACAATGGAAAAACATGAAAGAATATGAAAGAACATAAATTCAGAAACATCGGTTCACATGACCGTTTCGTGGAGAGGAACAAGGGTATGGTTGACATGATATCGGTATGTTTTTACAATCCAAACATTGTGGTTATGGGACAGACTGGCTGACTATACATGAAACATAGAACATTTGAATATCAATGGTAAAATCAGTTACATACATCGTGATTCAGAATAAGCATTTTATAAGAAACATTTTGAGTATAAACATGGCATATTTATACTTGAAGACAACAGAATAAATGCATGGAAAATGTATGAGAGTAATAAGGGTCAGATTAGCGTGTTCTACGGTCACTTCGTCAATGTCGGGCACAGGGCAGGTTGAAGTACTTGTGAAATAAGAACACATGGCTTTCGTGGTATGCGAGGGGTGAGCGACGAGGGGAGCAGGTCACTAAATCGCTCGGCCACTAGAAAAGAATCGTCCTCGATTCTTGAGTAGACGATGCAGGTAGATGACAGGTGACAGGTGACGGAGGTAACAGACACAGGGAGTCTCGATCTTGCAGTTGAGGAGGAACGGTCGTTCAGGTATTTCTAAGGTCGGCGGCCTAGGGTGCTTGTTGCACAGGTCACTTCTGGGTGCAGGTGGTCTTGACGGGAGCGGCAGTGATGATCAGTCACGGAGCTCGTCAATCGTTCCACACAGGATCACTGGAAGACACAGTTAACTTGTCAAGCGCCGTGTCAGTCGTAAATGACACGCACACCGGGTCTAGAAGATTCTGGGAGACCAGTAATCGTCGAAGAGTCGAAGGTTGAGCGGAGAATCTTGAGAGCGAGGTCTTGAGGATCACGTCGGCGAGGATTCGTCATCTCGGGAGAGGAACAACATTGGTGACGGCGTCACGAGAATCAGCAGGCAAGGAGGGACAGTTCTTGCCAGGGTCACCAGCACGGCAGCGGGTGTGGTGGGTGAGCGTAGCGAGATGCACGAGGAACGTGGGCGGCGATCACCAGCGGACGGGTCGGGGCGGCGGACATGGCCGGAGTAGCAACGCGAGAACAGGAGAGCGTCGGCAGGTGATGCGGCGGTGAGGACGTTCGGCGGTAGTCACCAGCGGACGAGGCGGCGGACATGGCCGGAGTTGCAGCGACGTACAGTAGAGAACATGGGAGCGTCGGCAGGTGATACGGCGGCGAGGGCGTCCGTGAGATGGGCTCGTTAACGGGCGAGCGAAACTTGTGCGTCAGGGCACGGCGGCGAGGGGGCGACGTGGTGATCCGAGAGTCAAGGTCAGCAGTGGCGTTTCAGCACGGGGCATGTGGCTCTGAGGACAACAGACGGGAACAACAGTACCATGTCTTGGCGGCAGAAGACATAATGCCATATCTCAGTATCTCAGGGAGTTACAATATCAACACGAACTCATAATGATTAGGAAATAACTGGAAGCAACGTGTCAAGTATTGGGAGTAGAGGGTGTTAATTGCAACATTTACCTGAGAGATAGAAGGCAGTAACAAACAAACGAGATTGTAGGACAAAATCTCGTGGAAATTGCGAGTTTATAGAGCCATGCAAGATAAAGGAATGATTCTCCATGTCATAATTCGTAGGATTCATGTGCAAGAAAACAAGATAACAAATATCCTTGTGAAAGTAAAGGTAGATAAATCGTAGAACACATTTCTTCAGGGGAATGAGAGTAGTTGCGTGCAAAAATGCAAGATCTTTCATCGAAAATGAAGGGTAGTTGCATGCTAGAATACAGGAAGGATTTTCCTATTAAGAGAATTACTGAAGACATGCAAAAATGCAGGAAGAATTTCCTGGGAAAAATAGCTCATTATGAATGAACTGGAACTTAGCATCGTGGAGATTCAGAAATCATCACGACTTACAGTAACAGGGAAACGAAATAAGTACTCATAGGTAGAGAGAACTACAGAGAAATTATCGTAATCATGCTAACCACAGGGCATGAGTGAGGCGCGCTCGGAGTGAGGGGAGACATGCTAGTTAAGGGGAGACAGATGCCAGTGAGGGGAGATCTCGTTTTCTATGCGGGAGGAACACAGGTGTTCGCGAGAGCGAGAGGAAATCAGACACTTCACTTCACAGGGGATTTCCTAAACAAATGAGAACAGCGAGGATAAAAGAAACTCACCTTGAGGTACTGGCAGGGCAGTGTAGATTGATGTTGCTGCATCAGGCGACTGCAGTAACCGTTGAGGACTGCGGCAGGTGCGCAAAGGGAGTAGCGACAGTAGGGAAGACTGGCTTCGTGTCGGAAGTCTTGAAGTGACAGAGTTCGATGAGGGTTTCTTTGCTTGCAGGAGTCGATAATCTTGGTAGA